ACCCTGTAGGGATAACACGAACTAGTGAACCAGATTTCTAGTTCAGTACTAGTTCTTTATTGCCAAAAACGAACCAGTCCGATAGTAGCTAGTTCCGCACCAGTCCAAAAGCAGTGAAATGTAGTACTTTCACTAAACTATTCTATTTTAAATTTTAAAAGCAGGGAAGGTAATCATTATGAGTAAAATAATTTAAACAGCATTTCATCATTATTTTATGAATTATTATTGAGTTATATTTTTTCGTTTAAACGGAAATAATTATTATTTGATTTTTATTTTTGGGATTACAAATAATGATTAAGTTATGATTTTTATTTTTTCGCGCAGAGATTATCATTAATTTTCAGTTTTATTTTTCCACTTAAAAATAATGATAATTTATAAAACTGAAAAGGCCATAAAGACGCAGCCTACTGAAATTTGTACCTGAAAAGTTTGGGTCTTATTCCTCTTATAAGGGTGCGGCTACTTCTCAAAAAAAAAATATGTCGGTTATCACGCTGGTATAGTTTTTGAAATGATTAATAATCATTATACTTAGTGATTCCATAAACAAAGGCCAAGATCCTGAAAGACAATTGAGAAAGGCAATGCAGTTGCAGAAAAAGAGGCATTTAAAAAAAAGTGTCAAAATAATTACCACTTTCTCACTAAATTTATTTAAAAATGCAAGCCACCAGAGCTTCCTTTTTTTTAAGAAAAGACAAATTAAGTTGTTTTATGCAATCCACTACAGCTACGTTAATACAGTCAGCCAATAAAGTTTAGGTACAACGAATTTTTTACAATACGGGCAACTATTTTTTTAATATTTTAGTTTTCGGTAATTTTATATAAAAATATGGTCAATTCTACAACAAAATCCCCAAAAATCAGAGTCCCAAACCTTGTGCAAAATTTAAGAAAATTCTGCAAAATTCCATTAAAATAATTCACTTTCTATTTACGCTCTCTAGAAAAAGTTTTTTAGTCCATTCAATTTTAGTATAATGAAGTGCAAGTGTGAGGAAGCTGGGACTTACTAAACAAACAAAAAATTGCTAAATATCAATGGTAAGTCCTAGCTACCTCAAACTTGCACTTTGTTATACTAAAATTGAATGGGCTAATAACTGAGTACTTAACTTTTTTCTAAAGAGTGTAAATTGCAATACTTGGATGTAAATTCGCAGTTTTCTTTAATTATGCATAAGGTTTGGAACTCTGATTTTTGGGGTTTTTGGTGTAGAATTAACCATATTTTTATAAAAAATTAGGGAAAATAAATTATTTAAAAAATAGTTGTCGGTATTTTAAAAACTTCACTGTACCTAAACTTTATTGACTGACTGTATATCTTATTTAAGTTAAGTACGAAAAAAACTTTGGAAGTACTTCATATACATATAAGCTTAAAAAGAACTGAATTTACTTAAAAATCAATATGCTTAAATTTAGACAAGTAAGACAAAGTGAGCTAATATTTTTACTTTTAAGCAGAACTTTTTTTTTTTACTTACTACTTAAGTTTAATACTACTACTACTACTAATGTGGTTTATAAATTTTTAATAAATGCGTTTAAACATTTGTGATTGTATTGTCCTTCCTTCAACCGATCGTATTTAATTTAGAAGGGAAATGTTTCGACAAGCCTGATTAGAAATGTAGATCTAAGGTGACGAATTTATAACAGGTTGGGAAGTATAAAAAATGGATGCAGATCGAACTAGATCTCATCTGTCGAATTTGGACCTGGTTCGGAACTATAGAAAAAGGGATGCAAAACGAACTAGATCTTATCTGTCGAATTTAGAACTGGTTCGGAACTAGAGCCAAAGGGATGCAACGGGGGACAATTGACACTTCCTAGGACATCGCAATGTTAAATTCGCCAATCGCTAGCATGCAAAAGAGAATTAACGCGTACTAGTCATGGTTCCAAACGCACTAGAACCGAACCAGTTCCGCACTAGTTCGTTTTCCTACATGGTACATACATAGCTAACACCTAGTTCACCACTAGTTGAATGCTTGCTTGTACTTATGTATGTACTTACATACATATGTACATATAGCTAAATGAAAGAAAGTCAGCTTGTGTTTGTTTTCGTGTGTTGTTTTTTGGTGTTCCTTCTTGCTTACCAAAAGTTGTTGCTGCTGCACTATCGACTCTTAAGTAATCCTTGTCCATTTTAAATCATCTCTAATCCTTGATGGAGTGATATGCACTAATTTGGCATTTTTATTTCATTGCGCAAACATAGAGCCAATGAATGGTGTTCATCTTGTGTACATGTGTATGTATGCATGCCGGTAGTAGTTGGTCCACTTGGCTGCCATCTACCTTGTTATATACCTAGTACATTAGTAACTCTTCGTACTCCCATATTGCGAATGGCTGTGGTTGTTATGCTTTCGCTACGACATGGCAGGTGAAGTAAGATTGCCACATTCACAACCATTCGATTTGGGTGACCTCTGCTTTAGTTCACTTACTACATATGTAGGTGTTTTCGTTTTGCTGCCACTGCATTTGTGCTTGGCTTGTTATTTAACCTCTCTTAAAATTGACACTTTTCTTACCTGGGCAAACATGCATACATACATATGTACATACATAGGTGCAAATGTTTTTGGTGGTTCTGTGACCTGGCTTAATATGAATTGGTCAGCTTGGTCATTTAACCTTTTCTCCTTTTTTTTGTTTTTTTATTTCTTAAATTTTTATTGAGAAGATTTTTCAAGTATGCTTTGCTAGTAGTTAGTAGAATTCATTGCAAGCGTGGCGAAGGTTTATGAATTTTATTCTTAAAACAAAAATGTTATTCTGGAAGGAAAATGGCACACTTTTCTAAAATATCTAGCTAACATTTCACGATCAATGATTTGAAATGTATCATTGACCAGTCTAAATAAGAAGAACTCATGAGTTTAGATAGATGCCTGTGAAGTTGGCATACGGTTTGACGCAAAAAGAAAAAAAGAAAAGTTCTGAGTAGCTTTTCAACAGTTCCAGGGTTGACATTTATTTTATCTAAAAATTTTGATTTTTCGATTTTTTTCGTTTTAGGAACTCTAAAACTATTGAAAAGCCACTCTCAATATTCTTAATTTAAATTTTTTCAAAAATTCAAGTTTTTCGAATTAAAAAAAAAATGGTTTACTCAAGAACTCTAGGTCTTTTGGATTTGGACTTATTTTTTTTTCAAAAATTTATCTTTTTTGAAGAAAAAATTTTTCGGCGTAATTTTGCAGAACTTTTTTGTTCCTTTAAAGTAACTTTAGAACTATTAAAAAGTTACTCAGAACAGTAATAATTTGTTTCAACTATTTAGCTTTTTCGACATTTTTGAAAAATAAAAATTCGACGTAATTTTGCAGAAGTTTTTTTCCGTATACTGCGTGATCTAGTATACAACATTTTTGAAAAATTATTTTTTTTTGTCAAAATATCCAGAAGCTTTTCATCTTTTTCAAGAACCCTAGAACTATTGAAAAGTTAACCTTCTGTATGAGCCAGAAAAACTTTTTTTTTAATCTTTGTAAATATCTCAAAAACATGCAGCTTTCCTGAATAGTGAATAAAAGATAGCAAACTTAATTAACCTTCATTTAAAATATTAAATGTTTTGATGAGTATACGGCTCCTTTAAATATTATATATTTGTTTGATCGACCTTTGTTTCTTTTATCAAAAACCGTTATATCTCGAAAATACACTCGAAAACTACACTTAGAAAAAAAATTATTTTTTGAATTATCAGTTCGCACTTTATAACAAAACACTAACGATGTCCCAGCACCAAAAACTTTTTCTAAAATTGTTGTCTTTGTTATAAATATTTAGAGTGTTTCGATATACTGAAAATGATAAAGGTCTGGTTAATATAACCTATAGCTTTCATGCAACTGATTGTTAAGATATGAGGTTTTACTCTAAAAATCCTTCATTTAGACCATGTTATTTCGTGAGCCTTTTACTAATTGATCACGCACAGTTCTACTTAGAAGATCGTCCCCTATACGGTATATCTCCCACTCCACAGATTGTTCAGATATAAGGTTTTGCGATATAACTCCATCTAGAAGCAAGGTCTGAATGCTCAGAATTAAATCGATTAAGCCATGACTGTCTGTCCGCTTATCTGTGATACGATCTTTATTTTTTTCGCCATGAGCTTTCTGGCGATAAATAATGAAAATAGTGCGAAATTTGTTGTACTTAGCTGCATAAATAGAGGAGTTATAAGAAAAAATATCATGTCCGAACAATCAGTTGTGTTTGAGCTATATGTTATAGTGGTCCGATATTTCCGGTACCGACAAATGATTAATACATTATCATAATGCACTCCTTACAAAATTTCAGCGGGATATCTTGAAAACTGAGCGACTAGATTGCATTCAAACACGGGCATGGCTAAATCCGCTCAGCTCGACGTTCTGACCATATAAGTACACATTCTAGTACTTACAAACATCGGACCAAATACCATTGCATGCTCATGAAAGGTGTAAACACAAATATACATATACCGTTACGTAAATGTTAAAACCTGCCAAGTCCACTTTTTTCGAAATTTAGTACATAGATTTTTCATCTCTCCTGAATAATTAAAAAAAAATGGACTTGGCACCTTTTGACGTTTAGATAACGGCATATGTATGCATATATGTATTATTTGACCATTCAAAAATATTTAATGTCAATTAAATTTATTTAGCTCTTTTGTGACAAATTTTACCTTCGTAATCTTGCAAATACAGTTAAAGGATTAAACGAGCCTAGGAGTATATTATCTGCAACAGACCATTGTTTGAGTAATTTTTCTGTATATATGTTTATGTTAGTAATTTAGTAAAAATTAAATTTATTTTGATAGATATTTATTTAGTAAAGATGAAACTGTTATTTAAATACTGACTATTTATGACACTATAAAGTTATGCATAAGGAAAATATTTCATAAACTTTATAATTACTCAACGCATGTTTTCGTTTGATTTTGCTTGCAGGTGAGCGTTTTGTGCCCGAAACATTTGAGACTGGCTACAAAATAACGATGCGATTAACCATAAACGATGTTGACACACTGGATTTCGGTTCATATCGTTGTGTGGCAAAGAATTCGCTTGGCGATACAGATGGCACAATTAAACTCTATCGTAAGTGAACTATGAATGTCTCATAAACTAACTAATGTGCCTACCTACATATAGTATGTACATTAGGGTGCTTTTGTTTTGGTGGAAAACACCTAAAAAACTCCCTAAAAATAAAATTTCCTACCAAAATGTTTTATAAAACTAAATCGCTAATATCGATATTACCTGTAGACATAGGGCTTAATCAACAATTTCTACAATTTAGCTCAATAATCAATGAAAATTCCAGACTACCTCAATTTCAAAGCCCAATATCCGGAGATATATCGATGCAAGTGATTTGGAGTTTTAGAACTGTTTTGTAGGAAATTGAATGTCCTACAAGTCTGTCATTAGGAATTTTTCTGTAGCTCATGTTGTTTACGAGATAAGCGCAAAAAACGGGAATTTAGTTAAAATATTGGGTTTGGTGACCCGTACTAACTCGCTGGTGGGAGCTAGAGTTACGCCGCAATGGACACTTTTGTAGAGCCTTCCATTCTGAATAAAATCCGTTATTTATCATAACTATACCATAAAATTCCTCTGAGCTGTAGAGTTTTGAAAAGTTTACATGTATTTTATATGGGAAATCTTTGCACGCCTTGCGCAAGCACTTAATGATAATATTAAGAGCTAACATTTTCAGGGAGATTTTAGGTGTTTTCCACAAAATTTTGAGCTAGGAGTGAAAAAAAAACATTAGTCGAAAAAGACTAAGCACCCTAATGTACATATGTGCATATCTGTGTAAACACCTAAAAACACGCACTAAACTGATGAAGAACAAATGAGATCTAGGGTATTTTAAAAAAGGAAAAGTGCTGGTTCATATGGATATATTAAAATATATATGTATGTACATTCATTTGTATATAAAATAGAAAACCAGCAATTTGTGTTGAGTGACCGTCTGCATATGGTGTGGTGTGGGGTAAACTTAGCTATATATTTACATATGTTGTATTGCGGTAGATTGTACTGTGCTGTGCATGTTGTGCCAATGGACTTCTTTGGGTTTTAACTAAATTAGGTCAATTCAAAAATTGTGGGTATTATGTGGCATTCGGTTAGGAGTCAGTATTTGGTGTGCATTTTTGTGAATGAAAAGATAAGAAAAACATTTATGGGACAACATTTAATTAATTTATACAAGCCAATAAGAGTTGCTGCAGCACACTTGATAAGCAGCAAATGAAAAGGCGTCGTCTTTTGTGACTGTAGTGGCTACAACATTTGATAAATTAAATTTAACAAAAACACTTTATTCTCTCTCTTTTACTGCATAAATTTGTAAATAGTAATCTGAAGCTTAGCTAGTCTAGACTTAATTTACGTAGCTTAACATAACTTTATATTTCGGCCAACCTGTTATATGAGGGACTGTGTTGGCTGTTAATTAAAATTTAACCTACCCCAAGAAAGTTAACAACCTGTAGTTTTGAGAATCTTAAGTAACGGCCTTACGCAAATTTAGAGCCTTGAGATAATCAAGCTTGCCAGACTTTTATTTTTGTATTTCTTAAAAACATATGAACGCCAACATCAATGTTTTCGTGAAATTTTTTGATATGGCGATCTAGGCCGCGAGCTGTCAAACAGCTGAAAAAGAAAATACAAAAGCAAAATATTTTCGCTTCTGGCTTAAGTTGACTTGTTTACTCATCTTTGACTATTTCTTAAGGAAAGTTAAATTAAGTTAACAGGGCAATTATAGAAAATATAGTAAAAACTTTCGTAGCACAAAAGTGTTAGAAAAAAAGCTCTCTCAATCACCACTCTTGGTGAAAATCTATTTTGGGAGAAATCACTTATATGTCATTTAGCTCACGTCGCTCCAACGTCGTATCTCAGTCAGTGGAATTTATTTTATTTTTTTTTTTCTTTTTTATTTTTAAGATTTAATTTTTTTAAAAGAATATATTTTTTAATTTCATTTAATTTTAAAGAACTTATTTTATTTTTTTATTTAGATTTTTATTTATTTTTTTAATCTCATTTTCTTTTAATTATGTATTAAATTTTTAGAAGCCTTTATTTGATGTATTGGTTTTTCCGTTAATTTTACTTACTTTTAATTTTTAGATTATATTTGTTTTTTTAAGAAAAATATGTTTATATTTAATATATCTTTATGATCTCATCTTCGTTTTTTTTTCTCAATTAATTTTCTTTTAATTTTTGGATGCCTTAAAAATAAAAATTCTTTTAAATTTTTCTTAACTTTCAAGTATTATTTCTTCTTCTTTTATTATACTTTTTTCTCATTAAATTTTTGGTTTTATTGTTTTAAAAGGAAAAAAAAATTAAATTTAATTTAATTTGTTAAAGACTTATTAATGTTGCTTTATTTTCATTTCATTTTTTATTTAGTTTTTTAACTTCCTATTGTTTTCAAAAGAAAGCTATATACAACTTTTAATTTAATTAAATTTTTTAAACTTAAAAAAACTTATTTCCAAAAGCCCAATAGCATAACGCTAATGCCCCCTCGCTAGCATATCTTGCAAATAATCTTTCGAAAGACAGTAAAGAGCTTACTGGCGCTGTAACCGCCTAAGCGATTTTGGCCGAGTTTAACAAAGCACGCCACTTGTTTCTCTTCTGTGCCAACTGATGCCAGTTGAAAATACAAAGTGAAGCCAAGTTCTTCTCCACTTACAAGGAGGCATCCCCCTTCCACTAGCGGGTTCCGAGTTGAGTACTTTCAGAGCTGGATAGTCGGAGTCCATCCGAACGAGATGGCCAAGCCAGCGGAGCTACTGTATTTTAATTCGCTGCACAATTGTTGTAAAGGTCATACAGCTCATCGTTCCATCGTCTGCGGCACTCGCCGTCGCCAATGCGTAAAGATCCGTAAATCTTCCGCAAAATCTTTATCTCGAATACTCCAAGAGCCACCTCATCGGATGTTGTCATTGTCCATGCTTCTGCACCATATACAAGCACGGGCATGATGAGTGACTTATAGAGTGTGGTTTTCGTGCGTCGAGAGAGGACTTTACTCCTGAATTATCTACTTAATCTAAAGAAGCACTTGTTGGCAAGAGTGATTCTGCGTTGGATTTCCATGCTGACATTATTATCGGTAATTATGCTGGTTCCCAAGTAAACTAAAATCTCTACTTTCTTGAAATTATAACTATAAACAATGACGTAGGTGCCAAGGCCCAAATGTGCTGACACTTTGTTTGGTGACAGGAGATACTTCGTCTTGTCCTCGTTTACCACCAGACCAGATGCCTTTTAGTGCTGTCAAAAGCGGCTTGGAACTCGCTCTTTTCCATGGTTTAGCGTACTGGAAATACCTGGTCTACGGTCGATTTGCCGGGCTTAAAGCCACCCTGATGAAGCCGAATCAGTCCGTTGTTGCTTGCTTCAGTCTTTCACACAATAGATACTCTCGATAAGAACTTGCATCAGCTGTAAAAGAGGACCATTGCTATTTGCTCAATAAAAATACCTCAGCGTCAAAAATAAACATACCCAGCAATGTTGCGTGAAAAAATTCATTCAACGGGCACTCAATTAAGCACTAATAGAGCAATTGAGAATTGAAATTTCGTAAGGTAAATCTATTTCAATTAGCGTCTTAATTGAGAAAGCTCGATAAGCTAAAGGGGTTATTTTTTGAACTTTTCCAATTATTACCATCTAAACCCTTACTATTTAGATAGAGAGATGTTTTTTTCTAAAAAGAGAGCATGGAAACTAACTCGACTAAGACAGCCATCTGAGTAGAGAGCGTGTCAGTCGTGGCAATATTTAAATCCTGTCCACGTAATTCGCTGTCAAATTGTGAAAGGGAAATTTTATTTCCACTTGTGAACAGCCAGGAAGACCTTTCTGTCTCATTTAGGAAATACTAAGTTTACGTTGCATGGTAGACTGCAATTAAAAAAGTGCAAATCGATTTCGAAAATATATTTGAACTTGCTGGCGCATCACCAGCGATTTTTATTTTTGCTGCAAGCGGAGTTAACCATTCCAGCGAATTATCGAGAAATAATGAAAATTTATTTTTTACAAAAACTAATTATTTTTCGGAATTGAATTGTCTTATTATTTATTCGAAAACTACTGGACAGATTTTGATGAAATTTTTACAGTTTGTTAAAACGTATGTGGACCATGTTTACGTTATGTTTGTTTGCTCATATAATACCCCATATAAGAAAAAACAACAGCAACTACAACTTCCACATATAAGAAAAGACAACAAATAGAAGCTTCATATGTGAGAAAAGGCAACAACAATTAAAATTTCACATATATAAAAAAACAACAAAAGTTTTGAACAAATAAAATAATTCTTTTTCTGATTCTTTCGCTATTTGCTCGGGATGAATTTTGAAATATGTATTTCACTTTGGATATCAGGTTACAATTCGGATATGTGGTCTAAAGGAGCTTCATGGAAAATACTTTTGAAGAGGGTTGCCACATGTTTCAAAACTTTAATTCGTTTAAATTGGTAAGATGACTACCATAGTACTACAATATGGTTATCAAATTAAAGCGGCATAAGAAAGCTTAATTTTCTAAAACTTTTTTAAGAGTGTTGTCATCTGTTTGTAAAATTGAATTAACTTAAATTGATAAGGTAAACGAAATGGTAAAAATTTTTTTAATTAAATTTTTAAATTAATTTTTTAATTTAAGTTTAAATTTTTTAAGAGTGCTGCCATCTGTTTGTAAAATTTAATTAACTTAAACTGATAAGGTAAATGACATATTGCATTAATGGTATCAAAATAAAGTGATTTAAGAAAGCTTAGTTTGGAAAATATTTTGAAATAGGGTTGCCACCTGTTTGGAAAATTTAATTGATAGGATATATTAAAAATTACAGTTTTGGTATCAAACGAATAGTATTTAATACATTTTCGGCATAGAAACAATTTTCATGTTCATTATCACCAATCTAAAAATTTAAGATTACAAATTTAAAAATAAATAAAATATTTCGAGATGGGCACCATGCGAAAGGTGTTTCAAACAGCTTTAGTAGAATGAAAATA